CCCTACACATGCCGAGCAAATATACAGATCAAGGGTTTTGCAAGCAAAACATTTTAACTAATCAGAAATGCTTTTCTATCCCTTTTGCCAAGAAAAGAGTAATTGGTTGAAAAGATAAGGAGGGTTGCATTTCAACCATGACATGTTACACAGAGGCCACGAGATGTCAGTGGAGACCCCAGTCTGAGGAGACTTGGGATAAACCAGACAAACGTACAAAACAGGGACAGAATTGTGTTTCTGGTGATGCTTAGGCTATTGCTGGTTTTGACCTATTGTATATTCCTAACCTATCTTTATTTTCTAGTCAGTGAAACGTGGATTCCATTATTTATGAGGTAGCCTTCTTGAGCAAAGTGTTTCAGCAAGCTGGTCTTTGTCGTCCCCAGTTGCTTTGTTTACAGTGAGGTGGATGCTTGCCTTATTTTTCCTTGAGGGAAATCCACCACTGCCTTTTTATTAGAATTTACAGCCATAGGTTAAAGAAGGGGTCCTCTACTTTAGCTCTTTGAACCTCCTGAGGTCCTGTACGATTTTTCCTGATGAATCCTTCCATCTGATAAGAGTTTCACTAAGATAGTTGTGTGATTAAAGAACAAGATGTACTTCAAAGCCTTTCCAGTCTTTCAAGAATGATGTGCCAGATTTTCTGCATATTTCTTTCTCAAAAGATGAAACCACGTCAGCTAACCACATGTGGCTTGACTCCTTGAGCCAAGTTCTTTCCTGCAGCTAATTCCATTAATAAAAAGTCCAATTGTAACCAGTTTTTCTTGGGACCACCAGCTACATCTTATTTGAAAGACTCAAAGGCAGTTGTTTCAAAGCCATCAAATGCATCAAAAGGAATGCAGTATTTAAGAAAACTGCAGAATCCAACATGCATCTTGCCTTACCAATATGTGAATCTCTGTCTATAGTTTAGGTTCTGCTTATTCCAGCCATTCCTTCTCCCCACCACACACACACTCAGTGGCTGGGAGACTGCATTTTCAGCTCTTTTGTGTGTCAGTCTTGGTCTCCTTCATCTTTTTTATCAATGAGTCCATGAATAAGCCAGAATGTTTGGGTTTCTTGTCAATGCAACCATGTAATTTTTTTCTCTGTGTTCTTTTATGGCCATTGTGTGCGTATTTCTTGGAAATTATTTTAGCTCAGGTCATTGGTTTGCCTTTCCTATTAACAGTTCCTTAGAAAAAAGGAAAAGAAAAAAATCCTTGCATAAGCAGCGATTTAGTAGCATATCTACAGAAGTTTGCATAAAAGAGGGAGACAGCTATTTGCCAGCTTACTGTAAGTCTTCAGTGCAGTTTATTGGTACTCTGGCTAATATGAAGCAATTTCTGCTGGCAATGTTCATTGTAAGAGATAGGTCTTGTTTGTTCTGCAGTATCCTACTGGAATGAGGCTTGCCTATTAATTAGATCTTTTTCAGAAATTATTATAAGCATCACTCTGCAAAAGAACTGTATCTAGAAGTGTGGTCCACTAGTTTGTGTGTAACTTTTCTCTTTCATAGG